CCGTTGAAAACTAGCCAGGGATCTGAGAAAAACCAAGTCTCCCCCCGAGAGTTGCAGCCAGGAACAAACTCCTGGACTACTATCGTCACCACCATTGTGGACACCCAAATCTTGCAGTACTACTGCTGCTGATGTTACTCCTTGGGCCAAGACGTCTCTGTTTTTGAACATAGTGAAATCGGAGTTGGTTGATAATCTAGAGAGGGTGCTGCATCGGTACAGAGAAGAAATCTGCAATGGATGCCGAGTCGGTCACCCCGGCCAGAGGCAACACGATTGTCTGAATGACATTCCAGAATATTTCTTCAGAAACAATTACAACGCGTTAATGAAAAGACTTTGGCTCGCCGACTTCATTACTGCGATTGACCAGAGTCTTAATGATAAAAACATTTACACGGCTGAATGGAGGATCCAAGGCGCTTCGGAGGCTTTTCTGCACAATCTCAAAAACTGCAGACGCCTCAAGGAGAGACTTGAAAAGATCCATGCCGAGCTGGATGGAGAGGAAGAAGACTAATAACCAGCGGTTGATTGAAGCCAGGGATTTTTTTATTCGATACTTTGACTTTTCTTTAAAGTAAAATAAAAATAGGTAACTACTATGGAAAACAATCTGTATATATCTATCAGAATGCAGTCAATACCTGTTTAATAAGTGTGTTGTTGATGACGATTGAAAACAGAATGAATAGTGATCCCCGTGTAAACAGAACGGCTGAAGTTTGTAAACTAGAAGACATTTTGGATATCGTTCATTCTGGCAGTACTATTCTGGGTGATTGGGAAACGATTGTAAACGAAACATTTAAAGTGGTACTGGAATCTTCATTTTCCGAAACATTCTGTAACATTACCGAAGAAATGAAACAAACACCAAAAGTGTATCATGTGCTCGCATTGTATGCTCTGTTTGTAGAGGTAATGCATCTTTGTGTCAAAAACAGCATACACATGAATACTTTGGCCGAGGTGCAAAAACTCCATTATAATATTTCCCTTCATCTGGGGGATTCTGTGCTGGAGAAGATCCAGGGGATGTTGCAATCAGTATAAATGTATTAATGATTCCTATGGGGTGAAAACAATAAATTGTAAATATGAAATTCTGCAAATAAAAAAAGTGTTTTTTACATTTTAAAAAACTGTTGTCTTCAAATCATAGTATAGTATTTCCTACATATCATTTTAAAAAAGAGTCACAGTGTAGAATGTCTGAACATTTATTTTAAAAGTACTAGTATAGTATGTTAAAAGTATCTTGAAAAAAGTCCAAGTATAGTATGTAGTTAAGAATTATATTATATAGTTTGTCTGCAATGTCAGTATAGGATCTCTAAAAAAAAAAATGAGAGAAAGTCATAGTATAGTTTGACAAAAAGATCCTGAAAAAGTCATGACATTGTGTGTTGAAATGGTTTTGAATAAACACATCAGTATTTTAAAAAGTAAAATTGTATCAAGTGCATCAGACAACTCAAATTACTCCATTTGAACCATATTATAAATAAGTAAAGAATGGTCATAGTATATAGCAGGGCTGTTTAATAGTTTTCGGTGTTTCTGTGTGTCGGTGTTTCAGTGTAAAAAAAGGTACCAGGATATTGTGTTGAAAATATCGCAAAAAGTGTATTGTATTTTGATAAAAATCACTGTATATTCAAAAATATAATGGAAAAAGGAGAGAAAAACAAATATCACAATATGTTGAAAAATATGAAAAAAGTAATGTTGTGTTAAAATAACATGAAAGAAATCAAAGTAAAGCATCTGAAAACATATATTTAAAAAAAGTAATGTTAGTCAAGTAATTCATTACAAATGAATGAATATTTTACCAAGTAAAAATATATATATATATATATATATATATATATATATATTTGTTGCACTGTTGGAGGAGCCTGTGACCTATGTTTTTCATTGACATATCTACACTGTGGCATATGCCATAAAGCCTTGAAACTTGAAAATGATCAGAAACTGCATTGTCTCACTGAAAACAGCTCTAAAGAAAACCCAATTCCATACACAGTACTTAACTTTCTACCAGTTGTAAAGTGTTGCTCACTTCAAAAGTGTATCTAAAAAGTATCTTAGTAACAAAAACAAAAGCAAAAAGCATTAATGTTAACAACGCCTCAAAGGGCGGACTCCTGAGTTCCGTAATGTCCCCCTACCATGGCACTTGGACTATTTACATCATCCAGGGCTCAACACCAGTAAATACACCTCTATTTATCCGCTCTCCAAGCCTCCAAGGGCGGACTCCTGAGTTCCGTAATGTCCCCCTAACAAGACACTTAGACTATTTACATCATCTAGGGAAGCACACCAGTAAATCTTCCTTATAGTTAATAAAGTAATTAAACAATAAAAAGACAAGATCAAGGGGTCATTAAGATCTTTAAATTATTATTACCCTCTTCAAAGAGACTTCGTTGTAGTTAAAGTAATTAAACATTAGTTCACAAGCCATACAACTTAAGAGAACATCCTTAGTTAACAACAACTTCATAGGGGCTTTTAAAGTTGTGTGAAGTAAGTAAACATTACAAATACAATATCAGGGGGTCATTAACATCTTTTTTAATTAGTATTACCCACTTTTCAAAAAAGAGAGTCCCTTGTAGCTAGTAAAGTAATTAAACATTAGTTCACAAGCCATACAACTTAAGAGAACATCCATAGTTAACACAAATCATATTAAAAACTAATCTAATTTTTTAGGTGACTTAGTGAATGAGAATTAATGGCTGATAGCAAAATCAGGAGGTGACAGGCAGGGGGAGGGGAGGGGTGGGAGGGGGTGTGAGGGGAGACACTCTCACACATCCAGACTCCATTTTTCATGAAGAGCCTCAGGCAGAGGGTCTGAACCCGGCACAGATACTGCATCCGTTTCTTGACTGGCGCTCCCGACTGTCACAGGCGTCTCGCTGATTAAACCCATATCGATGTGTCTCTTTGCCATTTTCATTTTTGAAAGTTTAGGTGACTTGGTGAGTGGAAATGACTGGCTTTTTATCTAGTTTGCACGGATTTCTGTTTTACCTAACTCCACCCCCACCTCTATCTTCTGACATCACAGCAAAAGGAAAGGTGACAGAAGGGGTGGGAGGAGGACGGGGGTCTCACACAAATTCAAAGAGACTCACCCTCACCCCCCTTACATCAAAGGACTGACATCAAAGGGCTAATTAGATTGACATCAAAGGCTTATAACACTCCGGTGTGATATCACACCTACATGTTACAACACCTCACCCCCTTAAATCAAAGGACAGACATCTAAGGGCTAATTAGATTAGACAACAAAGGGCAGACATCAAAGGCTAATTAGATTAGACAACAAAGGATCTACTACAATGGGGAATATCACACCTACATGTTACAACACCTCACCCCTCATATCAAAGGATATCACACCTATCTGTGATAGCACACCTATACGCGATAACACCTCGAACAAAGGGGCTCATTAGCATATCAAAGGGTCTCATTAGCATAAGTAGTAGTAGGTGTGACCTGTCACAGCACCTGTCACTTTTTATGCATACAAATGTGATGGAAGCGGGATCAGTATAACTACTAATCCACATTATATTTTTGTAATTGTTTCATTAAAACATAAAATAATACCATTCATTGTAATTGTAAACAAGTAACAAGTAACAAGTAAATCATTTATGTTTGTGTGCTGTGTTTTTATTGTTGTATTCCTGATACGTTGCTCAAAGTACTAAGTGGTTCAGTTTCTGATTTGAAAAGCGTCATTTATTTTCTATAACTTCCATGTCATGTCAGCCAAAGCCTCCAAATCAATGCAGCACTGTCTGTTTGGACTGGATCAGTAGGACACACCTCTTTTTTGTAACAATTCTAAAATCCTTTTGTAAATCATACGGAAATTATTAAATTGAAATAATGCACATATTAATTGAAAACTACATGCACTCAAAATCAGGTGTATTAAAACACATCTCTTTTTGGGGGGGATTTTGTCCCATATTTTATTTTATATTAATATTTATAAAAGTGTTTGCTTTTTAAAGTTAAGATAGCTAACCTTTAAACTTACCCTTCTGGATTTATTGAGGAAGCAACGATAAGAAGGTTCCTTTATTGCTAAAATGACATGTATTTTATAATCATACCTTTGGTTTCTGATAAGTACTTGTTTATCTCAGACAATGAACAACCTCAGTGTGATCACTTTATCTTACTATGAAATTAATGTTTAAACAAGTACAGATGATAATTAGGTTGTTTACATTGACTTACTGACACTGTTAACTGCCACTAGGTGATTTTAATGTTTGTCTATTCATATTGTAGTTTTTAAATTGTAATTGAAACACAGATTTCCTACACACACACACACACACATTCAAGAATGATGTTTCAACAATAAGTCAAAAGTAAAAGCTTGTTTACTATTGTGTGCTGTGTTTTCAAAGATATTTTCCAGATGCTCCAATATGTTATCAGAAGGTCATTTTTGTACATGTATGAGGCTGTGTTGGGTCCTTGAATTGGAGGTCATATGCTCTGTTGAATCCTTGACATTTCATGGAACTTGATTCCTAAGAAGCTGTAGGAACACTGAATATACTATTTGAATGTTGGTAAACTGATTATTAAGTTTGAGCCTAACTCCATCATACAGGCACTGTCATTGTAGATAATTTATGTTTGTGTAATAATATATAATATTATATATCAATAATATTGGGAGGGATTAAACCCTCTTTAATGGTCACACATGCAGAGCACACAGCACACACAGTGACATTTGTTCTCTGCATTTAACCCATCGTAGTACTAGGAGCAGTCCAGCTATTGCACAGTGCCCGGGGTGTGTTGTGTTTTTACTGTTGTTTTCCTGAGAACATGCTCAAAGGTTTTTTTTCCACATGTTTATGGTCAATATTTTCATTAATGATTGATCAGGAGTAGACACTATATAAAGCTGGGATTACCACAGAAACTCTAAAGTACATCTGAACAGACTGCCACTTTGAGAATGGAGATGACCATGTGTTTTCCTCTGTTGCTGCTGATCTGCTCTCTCTCTACGGCTCAGCTTCAGTCTGACAATAAAATTGTTCCACATCATGCTGAATCCCAGGGAGGAGAACCAACAAATGTGTCTGAGCACCAACAGACCTGTCCTCAAGACATCCATGCTGTGCTGAGAGAGATGAGCGCCTCTTTGGCTGAACAGAGGGTGGAGACGAGGCACCTTCAGAGAGAGAATGAAGGTACTGTAGTGTGTAAGGTGGGGAGGGAAGACATATGGGAACCACTTTAAAATAACATATTTGTTGTTCATTCACAAATTACAGAGCTGTTGTTTGTGAAGAATGGGTTTTACCTTAGAATCGTTTTTTATACCTTTCTTTTTAGCACAGGCAGCTCAGCTGAGAGAACTGGAGTTACAGAAGACTGAGATGGACATGTTGAAGCTACAGCAACAAGGTATACAATTAATAGTTATATGTCAAATTGGAGGCAATACATTTGTCCTAAATATATTCAAAACTTTTTTAATTATTTAATGACATGTTACTAATTTACTAGAACAAGTTTTTAGTTGCTAATGAAAGCAGTGATGTTGAAATTCTTTAAACTGTCAAAGATTGTCTTCATTGCAGAATTTATTTCACATTGCTACTGTATCACATAATTTTAGCCCAAGGTGGGGAAATATGGAAACCGTTCTTGTATATGAAGTTGTTTCACTATACTATTTTACGTTGCAGAATACATGTATTAACAGATGTAACAACTTTCAGTCTGAAAAACTATTGATACATGCTTGTTCACCTTTTTATTTTAAAACAACAATAATCTGATGTTGCAGAGAACATGTCCGACAATCCCATTAATTGTCTTATATGTCACACAATTCATTTCTAAAGGAAGGAGGTTATCAAAAGACTAGTTTGGCATGTTAGCATGCTGCTATCATATGCTAATCAGCACCCCAGCAACATACAGCATATGCTGTCGGGAGTATCTGTAGTTGAGTTATAAACCGAGCTATTGGACTTACTACAATGTCGACTTGATGTGTCCAACATGCCCAATGAAACCCAGTTTGTCACTCAAAATGTCTTTCTGGTGGCAGTAACATCACAATGTATGTAGCAACTGAATAACCCACATTTGCCTATCCAGAGTCATACTGTTAACATAGCTTAAATAGTAACTAAACAATGTGCAGCGAGGCGATCGTTAATGAAAAAAGAACGCTGGGTGATCATGGAGCCCAATGTGAAGCGGAGGGATTTTGATCGCAACAAACCAACGACTTGAGTCACAATATTAATTTCAGAATAATTGTATCGACTTAAAACATATCGTATTGCTTGTAAAAAATGCTCCGTTCCAATGCGTACCAACGGCTGGAACTGGGGAGTGTCTGAACTTAAGATGAATGGCAGCACTGATCGGGGTTAACTTTTACTGTGCGAGTACGTTCACAATTTTCTTTTTCACTAACAAGTCCTTAAACAATGCCATAACAGCCCATAACGTGTTCCTGTTAGTGTTTTCTTCCTGTCTGCCATCTTCTGTTGATTTCTCTGACGTCCAACGCTCTGTCTTTAAAGCTCTTTCCTTATCTCCCTTGATTCTCCTTAGCAACGGTCATTATGTTTGCTAAGCAGCTGTGTGTTATCTTGTATTAACAACCTCTGCAATTTCAAAATTGACCAATCAGAATCGAGTATTCAACTTACAGTAGCTGTGAAATAAACGAAAGGAATTTTTTTTTTTTTTATTATTCAATAAATAGCTATACATTTATTTTATTATTTAATAAAGCACAAACCGCTAAGCTAGAGAAGCAGAAGACTGAACTGGAGAAGCAGAAGACTGAACTGGAGAAGCAGAAGACTGAACTGGAGAAGCAGAAGACTGAGGGGGACAATTTAAAGCAACAACTTCAAGATAGTGTGTGGACAAGATCGTGGCTCTGACAATTTATAGTGAAAATGATTTATGATAGTGTATCTTAAGCAAGGAGAAAACCCTGTTTGAGCAGACACATATATTATAATATATTATACATGTATTTCTTTAAACATAAATGTACCATAGGCAAAGCTAACCTTGATGAAGACAGTGATGATGAAATACTTGAAACTATCAAACTCTATTTCTGTCAGACACAAATATGTAATGATGTCACTTTTGTCACAGTACAAGCAGCAGAGCTGATCACTGTGAAAGCCAGGTCAAATGTCACAGAAAACCAGGTGGAGGCTCTGAAGAGAGACGGAGAAGGTAAAACATCTAAATAATAGGTTGAATTTGTAATATATGTACGTATTTTTAAAGCATGAATTCAAAGAAGGGAAATAAAATGTCTCTCTCTCTCTCTCTCTCTCTCTCTCTCTCTCTCTCAATTAAATTAAATTCAATTCAATTCAATTCAATATGCATTTATTGGCATGAATGTCAGGTGAACAATATTGCCAAAGCGTCATGGATAATACAATTCAATTGTGATATGATGATAAAAAAAATGCATTCATTAAACATTTTACAGCAATATATTATTACAAAACCGCAAGTATCAAATGTAAAAAGAAACAAAGAAACAAAAGAAAGACACATGAAGTGGAGTCTCTCTCTCTCTACCTTTCTCTCTCTCTCAGTCAAACAGGTGGCTTTCTCAGCCTCTCTGTGGGCTTCAGGCACAGAAACAATCGGACCATTTAACACTGAATCTAATCTGGTCTTCAGATACGTCATCTCAAACATTGGGAATGCCTACAACCCAAACACAGGTACTCAAACTCAAACATTTAAAATTAGTTTTAGGTTTTAGGCTTTGCTGAATACAATACATGATCAGCAAACAAATCGAGAGTTACCTTCACTGACAAAAAATGTCCCACAGGTTTTTTCATTGCACCGGTGAGAGGAGCCTACCACTTTGAGTTCTACGTATACGGTCACGGTGATCCGTCACATAATTCAGGTGCTGTGTTGTTCAAGAATGGAGAGAGAGTTTGTATTGCATCTGAACATCAGACTTCAGGTGCGTTAACATCTTCTAATGGTGCCACGCTGCTTCTAGAGGTCGGAGATGTTGTGTTTTTGCGTTTGTGGGCAAACTCCAAGATATTTGACAATGGAAATCATCATAGCACCTTTAGTGGTCATCTACTTTTCACCATGTGAAAAAAGAAACCGTTTTTGTTGTGTGTCAGTACTTGTTGAAAAAGGTGTAATTTGTTTTTCCTTAATATGAACACTGTACAATACACTTTTTAATCAAAAATATGTGTGCATTTTTTGTTCAGTTTTGTTGAGGGATTTGCATGAAATACACAGTGATAAACAGAAACAGAAAACTCGTACCAGATTTTGAACATAAAATAAAGGAAGTGCAATAATTCATGAGAATATTGTGGTTTTTTCATGAATTTCTTTTTTTTGCCTCGATCAAGATGACAAGGAGAATCTATACCTACATGTTGGTTAGAGCTCAGCATTCATCGAAACAACTTTACTTTTCCTGTCAGATCTTTTTGTGTTTCTTTACTTTGTTTTATAGAAATGTGAATAACTGAGTGCTGTTAATGTGACAGGGGGAATTACGTTTGTTGCTTCAAATCCATCTAACATAGCTTTGCATCTCAACATACACAAGAACTGTATCAGGACCAGCAAATTAAAGTCTCATTGACAGAGTTTGTCCTGTACATGAAACATGAACGACCAAGTTTCAAGGCAGCAGGCATCTAAAAAAAGTTAAATATATTGTTTTCATGTTCTCATACATTTGAATAAAAGCACAAACAAATCACTGCAATACTCCTTCAGGAATTTTCTTCACAATGATGGTTTGAAAATAAAAGGACATGTTATTGTTCAAAATAATAATAAATAATAAAACAATAATAAAATAGAAGTGTCTTAAATATATCGAAATACATATTATTGTTTTTATGGAACAACAGAAACCCCAATGTTCACACATATATATATATATATATATATATAATGTGTTACCATTTTATTTAATAAACACAGTAATAATACAAAAACAAAACAGCACACAATAATTTCTCACAATCCATACAAACATATTTACAAAACAAAACAAGTATTTACCACCAACAAAATCAATTGATAAAGACAATAAAGACATAAACATATATATAAAAATAAACAAAAATGTCAAGACAACAAGGAGAAAGGGAGAGGAAGGGACATGCAGAAGAGAGAGTATTGTGCTAATGTATTACTGTGAGGTGATCCATTGTTGATAATGAAAGCTGTAACTGTAGGCCGATGCCATCCTCCACATATGGCATCTGAATGCTTTGTGATTTCCACTTTCCCCTATTGGTAAAAGACAAACCGCCCGATATAAAACAACAGAGCAATGAGTCACCAAAGTTAAAAAGCTTTCCCTCTATGGAAATGAACTGAAGTGTCTCAAACTGCATTAAACACTTATTATTTGTTTGCTGATGGATGGCTCTCTTTCTCTCTCACTTCGTGTGTGTGTGTGTGTGTGTGTGTGTGTGTGTGTGTGTGTGTGTGTGTGTGTGTGTGTGTGTGTGTGTATGCGTGCGTGCGTGCGTGCGTGCGTGCGTGCGTGCGTGCGTGCGTGTGTGTGCGTGCGTGTATGATACAGGGTACTTATTATATGTTGTACTTTGGATTCCTAAAGCTTTTAGTCTACTAACCCATCATCCAAGGGTAGTTTTCACTATAAGTAAAAAAGAATATTTGGACGGACACTATAATTTACAGTTTTTTACTATGTCAAATCTGAATTTTCTTTCAAATAAAAAACATCTATATTGATTCTGACTTTTCTACATCCAACTCACAGGTTTATCATTACTTTGAGAAAAAAGATTATTAATGTAACCCTTTTAGAAGGGAAGATATGGTCATTTGTTCTGGGAATGTCATTTTCGAGCCTGAGACCTGAAAAACAGGCTCAGAGCTTAACAGGTTAAGAAAGTTATCACCAAAAATGTTAAGAATGTTTTTAGAGAACGTTATCCTACCTTTCAGAAGAACATTCTGGGAACCAAAATAAAACGTCCTGCTGAAAACGTTTTTAAGAACAGTAGGGCATAATGTTCTAACAATGTTATCAAAAACATCTTAAGAAGGTTATCAAAAACATCTTAAGAAGGTTATCAAAAACATCTTAAGAAGGCTATCACCAAACATTTCAAGAATGTTTTTAAAGAACGTTATCCTACCTTTCAGAAGAACATTCTGGGAACCAAAATAAAACGTCCCGCTGAAAACATTCCTAGAACAACGAATGGTAACAAACATTTCTAGCTGGGAACTCACACATGCCACCGCAAACATGCAATATCTGCTTACAGGTTATCATGAATTACGTGCTTGTTTGTTTTTTTCAAAAGGAAAATATGGTGACATCAGATTTTTTTTAAAACATTATTTTCAAACAAATGCAACAAGTTTGTTTTTTAAAGCGCTCTAGAAATAAATCTGACCATGACCGTGTTAATATTTGCCATAACAGGAACGTTTTATAAAAAAAAGAATAACATCCTGAAAACATTTTCAGAATGTTGCTTTGAAAATGTTCTTCATTTGTTATCATGTAACATTGAGGGAACGTTTTATAAAGAACATCTTTAATGTGTTACCCAACAACGTCCAAAACACATCCTTAGAATGATGCAGGCAAAACTTTCCACCTTTGTTAACATATCACATTAAAGGAACGTTTTATAAAACACTTTCTGTCATCTCAGGCCTTAATAACATCCTCAAAACATCCTCTGAATGTTGCAGTTAAAACGTTATGTCTTAGTTAACCTTAAACCTTATAGGAACATTATTTGAAAAAATAAACATCCTAAAAAGGTTCTTTGAACATCAGATTAAAACGTTTCTTTAAAACCTTATTAGAACCTGTAGGTAATGTTAGCCAAAGTTGTGAGAACGTTCCCCGCTAGCTGGGACGGAGAAGGTAAAACATAGATCTAAATTATTTAATTAAGTTTTGAACAGGCTTATTCACAAATATGTGCACATTTAAAAACTTGAATTCACAGTAGGTAAATAAAATCTCTCAGTCAAACAGGTGGCTTTTTTCAGACTCTCTATTGGCTTCAGGCTCAGGAACTATCGAACCATTTAACACGCACACTAATCTGGTCTTCAGAAACGTCTTCTCAAACATTGGGAATGCCTACAACCCAAACACAGGTACTCAAACTCAATAATTTAAAATTAGTTTTAGGTTTTAGGCTTTGCTGAATACAATACATGATCAACAAACAAATCTCAAGTTACCTTCACTGACAAGAAATGTCTCACAGGTTTTTTCATTGCACCGGTGAGAGGAGCCTACCACTTTGAGTTCTACGTATATGATCTCGGTCATCCTTCACATGGTTCAGGTGCTGCGTTGTTCAAGAATGGAGAGAATGTTTGTGCTGCATATGAACATCAGCCGTCAGGTGCTGGGTCATCTTCTAATGGTGCCACACTGCTTCTAGAGGTCGGAGATGTTGTGTTTTTGCGTTTGTGGCAAAACAATCAAATACATGACAATGAACATCACTCTAGCACTTTCAGTGGTCATCTGCTTTTCCCCATGTGAAAGGGAAACTCATTTTCTTCAGCTATATGATCTATTTATTTTGTATTACAGCTTTGCTTTTTTATCGACAATGCTGCACAACAACCAAAAGGAATCTATCAGTAGCAGCAAATTAAAGTCTCATTGTTTTTCTCCTGTAAATGAAAGCTGACTGACAAGCTTCACAGTAACACACATTTATAAATATTACATATGTTTGTTCATGTTCTCTTACATTTAAATACTATAGACATATCACTGCAATACTATTTGTAAACACACAAAGTTGATTATAAAAATAAAATAATCATACTCTTAGTAGAAACCCAAAAAGATGTGTCTTATCTGTTTCTGAGAGATACAATAATCACTAATAGTTGTCTCAGATGTTGGTGAGATCTCAGGCTCTATGAACACAGTCACTCTGATCCATTTTCAGCTGAGAAGCTTTGCACTTTGTCATATTCTGACTTTCTGACTCAGCACTTGTCTTGTGTTTTGGGAGAGACTGGTTAATATCAGTTAGAACAAATAATGTTGTGTTAAAAATCTGATAAAGCGCACATAATTCTGCTACTTCCTGCTTGTAGATGTTTTATAACGTTGTGTTGTTCTTTAAAAGTCAGACTTTGTAACTATACTGGATTTATTGAGGAAGCAAACGGAGAAAATACATTTTATAGTCATCTTCATTTGGTTTCTGGTAAGTCTTTTATCATATCACCTGATGGACTGCCTTATTGAGGTCACTTTATCTCACTGTCATTAATGTTTGAACAAGTGGATGATCATTATTTTGTTGACATTGACCTATTTTCACTGACCAGCCATGAGGTGATTTTAATAAACATTTTATAATATTCGATAATCCACATTATAGTTTTGTAATTGTTTCATTAAAACATAAAATAATACTATAAGATTTCCTTCACACCAATGCACACCATTCATTGTAATTGTTATAATAAACAATTTTTGGGGGTAAAAATCAATGCCTTTAGAGCAGGGGTGTCAAACTCAAGGCCCGGGGGCCAAATCCGGCCCGCGACTTCATTTTATGTGGCCCCACAAGAGCTTGCAAAGAATATAATATGTTTATTATACGGTTACATGCTACTTTACAGAAGCACGTTGCCCATAAACGACATGTCCTACAATGCATCTCAGAATTTCACTTTTTCTCAGAATTTTACTTTTTTTGTCAAAATATGCCTTTTTTCTTAAAATTAGCCTTTTTCTATATATATAGATTTCTTTTTCAAAATGTCACTTCTATTTTTTTGTTTTTCCAGAATGTGGCTTTTCTTTTTAACCTGTTACGCACCGCCCCCCCGGTACCGGGCGGATAAACGCGTCATTTGCAGGAAACAACGTCTACGGAATCTTAATATTTAATAAACTATGAATGTTTTATATCCATGTAACGGGAAGAAACTCAGCTAACTGATCTTTTTAATTTTTTTTCCAAAAAAAAAACACAATGCTAACACTCAGCCTCTGAATTAACCACGAGCGAAAAAATGTAACCTAAAACGGCACCTAAACTCACTCATAACTCCCTTATTACTTATCCTAGATGCACAGCCAACCCCTCGATTAGCATCTCCTGGAGACACAGAATCTGGGGGTGCCCACCTCAACACTCAGTGATAAACATTTGCGACGCTATAAACGAAAGCGTACATCAGAACATGTGGAGCTAGGTAGCTAGAAACGCTAACATGGCTTACCTTGGTCAAAACTGGTCTTCAATGGCATTAAAACAATAAAAAAACGATGCTGCAGTTAATCCATAGGTTAATCCAATGTGTCTGTGTCCTCTTTGAAATGATTTCTGATAATCCATAAGCAATAAAACTGCTTTTTCATTTCCAAATGTCAGAGCTAGAGATAGGTCCACTCTGATGCTAAATTACATGCGCGAATCCCCCACCTCTTCTCTTCACAACGTGTGTGTGGGGGCCTCCCCCTTCAATTCTATTGGCTCTATTGGTCAGAAAGAGGTGTCAACCATCCAAATCGACCAAGGGGGGCCAGAGATATGGAAAAAAAAACATTTTCACCCAAATCACCTCAGAGGTGGGGTGGTTTTGGCTAAACCTCTCTAAAAAGGTCAAATGTCACTTGTTTTGCATCAATCTTGATACAGGGTACTTATTATATGTTGTACTTTGGATTCATAAAGCTTTTAGTCTACTAACCCATCATCCAAGGGTAGTTTTCACTGTAAGTAAAAAAGAATATTTGGACAGACACTATAATTTACAGTTTTTTACTATGTAAAATCTGAATTGTCTTTAAAATAAAAAACATCTATATTGATTCTGACACTTCTACATCCAACTCACAGATGTAACCTTGCTTTGATAAAATAAATTATTCATATAACCCTTTTAGAAGTTCAGTTGTAGTCATTTGTTTTGGGCATGTCATTTTCGAGCCTGAAACATGAAAAACAGGCTTGGTGCTTAACAGGTTAAATCATTTTGTGACATTCTCACTGAAGAGACTTGCAATTATTTGCCCTAGACTTCTGCTTTCAGACGTAGTTAATTATGAAGTTATTACCCTATCCGATAATAATCCAATGCAGAGGCAATAATGTAATATAATACATTCTTTTTTCAATATTTATATATGTATTTTTATATAGTCTTAAAGTTACAACCGGCCCTTTGAGTGCAACCATAATGCTGATGTGGCCCACGATGACATTGAGTTTGACACCCCTGCTTTAGAGTTAATGAAAATGCACATTGGCCATTAAATGTGTTTGAGTTTATATATATTGTACATTGTTGAACCTTTCAGTTATTGAATTTGTTCTTGAACCTTGTAAATAAGTCTATGTCTCTGTCGCTCAACCTACATATTGTTTTGTTGTGTTAGAGAAACGTCTGCCATCACTGTAAGCCTTTCTATTTCTTATATAACCTTTAAACTTACCCTTCTGGATTTATTGAGGAAGCAACGATAAAAACCTTTCTTTATTGCTAAAATGACATGTATTTTATAATCATACCTTTGGTTTCTGATAAGTACTTGTTTATCTCAGACAATGAACAACCTCAGTGAGATCACTTTATCTTACTATGTCATTAATGTTTAAACAAGTACAGATGATAATTATGTTGTTTACCTTGACTTACTGACACTGTCACTAGGTGATTTTAATGTTTGTCTATTCATATTGTAGTTTTTAAATTGTAGTTGAATCACAGATTTCCCACACACACACACACACACACACACACACACACACACACACACACACACACACACACACACACCATCAACAATCAAGAATGACGTTTCAACAATAAGTCAAAAGTAAAAGCTTGTTTACTATTGTGTGCTGTGTTTTCAAAGATATTTTCCAGATGCTCCGATATGTTATCAGAAGGTCATTTTTGTACATTTATGAGGCTGTGTTGGGTCCTTGAATTGGAGGTCATATGCTCTGTTGAATCCTTGACATTTCATGGAACGTGATTCCTAAGAAGCTGTAGGAACACTGAATATACTTTTTGAATGTTGGTAAACTGATTATTAAGTTTGAGCCTAACTCCATCATACAGGCACTGTAATTGTAGAACATTTATGTTTGTGTAATAATATATAATATAATATAACAATAATATTGGGGGGGATGAAACCCTCTTTAATGGTCACACATGCAGAGCACACAGCACACACAGTGACATTTGTTCTCTGCATTTAACCCATCATAGTACCAGGAGCAGTCCAGCTATTGCACAGCGCCCGAGGTGTGTTGTGTTTTTACTGTTGTTTTCCTGAGAACATGCTCAAAGGGTTTTTTTCCACATGTTTATGGTCAATATGGTCAGTAATGATTGATCAGGAGAAGACACTATATAAAGCTGGGATTACCACAGAGACTCTAAAGAACATCTGAACAGACTGCCACTTTGAGAATGGAGATGACCATGTGTTTTCCTCTGTTGCTGCTGATCTGCTCTCTCTCTACGGCTCAGCTTCAGTCTGACAATGAAATTGTTCCACATCATGCTGAATCCCAGGGAGGAGAACCAACAAATGTGTCTGAGCACCAACAGACCTGTCCTCAAGACATCCACGCTGTGCTGAGAGAGATGAGCGCCTCTTTGGCTGAACAGAGGGTGGAGATGAGGCACCTTCAGAGAGAGAATGAAGGTACTGTAGTGTGTAAGGTGGGGAGGGAAGACATATGGGAACCACTTTTTAAAATAACATATTTGTTGTTCATTCACAAATTACAGAGCTGTTGTTTGTGAAGAATGGGTTTTACCTTAGAATCTTTTTGTATACCTTTCTTTTTAGCACAGGCAGCTCAGCTGAGAGAACTGGAGTTACAGAAGACTGAGATGGACATGTTGAAGCTACAGCAACAAGGTATACGTTGAATAGTTATATGTCAAATTGGAGACAATACATTTGTCCTAAATATATTCAAAACGTTTTTTAATGATTTAATGACATCTTACTAATTTACTAGAACAAGTTTTCAGTTGCTAATGAAAGCAGTGATGTTGAAATTCTTTAAACTGTCAAAGATTGTCTTCATTGCAAAATGTATTTCACATTGCTACTGTATCACATTATTTTAGCCCAAGGTGGGGAAATATGGAAACCGTTCTTGTATATAAAGTTGTCTCACTATACTATTTTACGTTGCAGAATACATGTATTAACAGATGTGACAACTTTCAGTCTGAAAAACTATTGATACATGCTTGTTCACCTTTTTATTTTAAAACAACAATAATCTGATGTTGCAGAGAACATGTCCGACAATCCCATTAATTGTCTTATATGTCACACAATTCATTTCTAAAGGAAGGAGGTTATCAAAAGACTAGTGTGGCATGTTAGCATGCTGCTATCATATGCTAATCAGCACCCCAGCAACATACAGCCTATGCTGTTGGGAGTATTTGTAGTTGAGTTATAAACCGAGCTATTGGACTTACTACAATGTCGACTTGATGTGTCCAACATGCCCAATGAAACCCAGTTTGTCACTCAAAATGTCTTTCTGGTGGCAGTAACATCACAATGTCTGTAGCAACTGAATAACCAACATTTGCCTATCCAGAGTCATACTGTTAACATGGCTTGAATAGTAACTAAACAATGTGCAGCGAGGCGATCGTTAATGAAAAAAGAACACTGGGTGATTATGGAGCCCAATGTGAAGCGGAGGGATTTTGATTGCAACAAACCAACGACTTGAGTCACAATATTAATTTCAGAATAATTGTATCGACTTAAAACTTATCGTGTTGCTTGTAAAAATGCTCCGTTCCACTGCGTACCAACGGCTGGAACTGGGGAGTGTCTGAACTTAAGATGAATGGCAGCACTGATCGGGGTTAACTGTTACTGTGCGAGTACATTCACATTGTCTTTTTCACTAACAAGTCCTTAAACAATGCCAGAACAGCCCATAACGTGTTCCTGTTAGTGTGTACTTCCTGTCTGCCATCTTCTGTCGATTTCTCTGACGTCCAACGCTCTGTCTTGAAAGCTCTTTCCTTATCTCCCTTGATTCTCCTTAGCAATGGTCATTATTTTCGCTAAGCAGCTGTGTGTTATCTTGTATTAACAACCTCTGCAATTTCAAAATTGACCAATCAGAATCGAGTATTCAACTTAGCTGTGAAATAAACGAAAGTAGTGCAGGAATTTTCTTTTTTTTATTGTTCATTAAATAGCTATACATTTATTTTATTATTTAATAAAGCACAAACCGCTAAGCTGGAGTTACAGAAGACTGAACTGGAGAAGCAGAAGACTGAGGGGGACAAGTTAAAGCAACAACTTCAAGGTAGTGTGTGGACAAGATCGTGGCTGTCAAACCCTGTTTGAGCAGACCCATATATTATAATATATTATACATGTATTTTTTAAACATAAATGTACCATAGGCAAAGCTAACCTTGATGAAGACAGTGATGATGAAATACTTGAAACTATCAAACTCTATTTCTGTCAGACACAAATATGTAATGATGTCACTTTGTTCACAGTACAAGCAGCAGAGCCGATCACTGTGAAAGCCAGGTCAAATCTCACAGAAAACCAGGTGGAGGCTCTGAAGAGAGACGGAGAAGGTAAAACATCTAAATAATAGGTTGAATTTGTAATATATGTACGTATTTTTAAAGCATGAATTCACAGTAGGGAAATAAAATGTCTCTCTCTCTCTCTCTCTCTCTCTCTCCCTCTCTCTCTCTCTCTCTCTCTCTCTCTCTCTCTCTCTCTCTCTCAATTCAATTCAATATGCTTTATTGGCATGAATGTCAGGTGAACAATATTGCCAAAGCGTCATGGATAATACAATTCAATTGTGATATGATGATAAAAAAAATGCATTCATTAAACATTTTACAACAATATATTATTACAAAACCGCAAGTATCAAATGTAAAAAGAAACAAAGAAACAAAAGAAAGACACATGAAGTAGAGTCTCTCTCTCTCGCTCTTTTTCTCTCTCTCTCAGTCAAACAGGTGGCTATCTCAGCCTCTCTGTTGGCTTCAGGCTCAGGAACAATCGGACCATTTAACACTGAATCTAATCTGGTCTTCAGATACGTCTTCTCAAACATTGGGAATGCCTACAACCCAAACACAGGTACTCAAACTCAATAATTTAAAATTAGTTTTAGGTTTTAGGCTTTGCTGAATACAATACATGATCAACAAACAAATCGATAGTTACCTTCACTGACAAAAAATGTCCCACAGGTTTTTTCATTGCACCAGTGAGAGGAGCCTACCACTTTGAGTTCTACGTAAACGGTCCCGGTCATCCGACACTTCCTTCAGGTGCTGTGTTGTTCAAGAACGGAGAGAGAGTTTGTATTGCATATGAACATCAGACTTCAGGTTCGGTAAAATCTTCTAATGGTGCCACGCTGCTTCTGGAGGTCGGAGATGTTGTGTTTTTGCGTTTGTGGGCAAACTCCATGATATATGACAATTCACATCATCATAGCACCTTTAGTGGTCATCTACTTTTCACCATGTGAAAAAAGAAACCGTTTTTATTTTGTGTCAGTCCTTGTTGAAAAAGGTGTAATTTGTTTTTCCTTAATATGAACACTGTACAATACACTTTTTAATCAAAAATATGTGTGCATTTTTTGTTCAGTTTTGTTGAGGGATTTGCATGAAATACACAGTGATAAACAGAAACAGAAAACTCGTACCAGATTTTGAACATAAAATAAAGGAGGTGCAATAATTCATGAGAATATTGTGTTTTTTTCATGAATTTCTTTTTTTTGCCTCGATCAAGATGACAAGGAGAATCTATACCTACATGTTGGTTAGAGCTCAGCATTCATCGAAACAACTTTACTTTTCCTGTCAGATCGTTTTGTGTTTCTTTACTTTGTTTTATAGAAATGTGAATAACTGAGTGCTGTTAATGTGACGGGGGGAATTACGTTTGTTGCTTCAAATCCATCTAATAGCTTTGCATCTCAACATACACAAGAACTGTATCAGGACCAGCAAATTAAAGTCTCATTGACAGAGTTTGTCCTGTACATGAAATGTGAACGACCAAGTTTCAAGGCAGCAGGCATCTAAAAAAAGTTAAATATATTGTTTTCATGTTCTCATACATTTGAATAAAAGCACAAACAAATCACTGCAATACTCCTTCAGGAATTTTCTTCACAATGATGGTTTGAAAATAAAAGAACATGTTATTGTTCGAAATAATAATAAATAATAAAACAATAATAAAATAGAAGTGTCTTAAATATATCGAAATACATATTATTGTTTTTATGGAACAACAGAAACCCCAATGTTCACACATATATATATATATAATGTGTTACCATTTTATTTAATAAACACAGTAATAATACAAAAACAAAACAGCACACAATAATTTCTCACAATGCATACAAACATATTTACAAAACAAAAAAAGTATTTACCACCAACAAAATCAATTGATAAAGACAATAAAGACATAAACATATATATAAAAAGAAACAAAAATATCAAGACAACAAGGAGAAAGGGAGAGGAAGGGACATGCAGAAGAGAGAGTATTGTGCTAATGTATTACTGTGAGGTGATCCATTGTTGATAATGAAAGCTGTAACTGTAGGCCGATGTCATCCTCCGCATATGGCATCTGAATGCTTTGCTATTTCCACTTTCTCCTATTGGTAAAAGACAAACCGCCCGATATAAAACAACAGAGCAATGAGTCACCATGGGTGTGTGTGTGTGTGTGTGTGTGTGTGTGTGTGTGTGTGTGTGTGTGTGTGTGGTGTGTGTGTGTGTGTGTGTGTGTTTGTGTGTGTGTGTGTGTGTGTGTGTGTGTGCGTGTGTGCGTGCGTGTGTGTGTGCGTGCGTGTGTGATACAGGGTACTTATTATATGTTGTACTTTGGATTCCTAAAGCTTTTAGTCTACTAACCCATCATCCAAGGGTAGTTTTCACTATAAGTAAAAAATAATATTTGGACGGACACTATAATTTACAGTTTTTTACTATGTAAAATCTGAATTTTCTTTAAAATAAAAAACATCTATATTGATTCTGACTTTTCTACATCCAACTCACAGGTTCATCATTACTTTGTAAAAAAAGGTACCAGGATATTGTGTTGAAAATATCGCAAAAAGTGTATTGTATTTTGATAAAAATCACTGTATATTCAAAAATATAATGGAAAAAGGAGAGAAAAACAAATATCACAATATGTTGAAAAATATGAAAAAAGTAATGTTGTGTTAAAATAACATGAAAGAAATCAAAGTAAAGCATCTGAAAACATATATTTAAAAAAAGTAATGTTAGTCAAGTAATTCATTACAAATGAATGAATATTTTACCAAGTTATAAAGTTTTCCATACATAAACGTGTATCTTGCAGTTCCTTTGTGAGAGAATTACGCACAAATCTGTCATATCAAAACATTCTATTGCAGTATTTTATCTGTTTTATGTGCTCTATATATATATATATATATATATATATATATATATATGTGTATATATATATATTTGTTGCACTGTTAGAGGAGCCTGTGACCTATGTTTTTCATTGACATATCTACACTGTAGCTAATGGGCATATGCCATAAAGCCTTGAAACTTGAAACTTAAAATGATCAGAAACTGCATTGTCTCACTGAAAACAGCTCTAAAGAAAACCCAATTCCATGCACAGTACTTAACTTTCTACCAGTTGTAAAGTGTTGCTCACTTCAAAAGTGTATCTAAAAAGTATCTTAGTAACAAAAACAAAAGCAAAAAGCATTAATGTTAACAACGCCTCAAAGGGCGGACTCCTGAGTTCCGTAATGTCCCCCTACCATGGCACTTGGACTATTTACATCATCCAGGGCTCAACACCAGTAAATACACCTCTCTTTCTCCGCTCTCCAAGCCTCCAAGGGCGGACTCCTGAGTTCCGTAATGTCCCCCTAACAAGACACTTAGACTATTTACATCATCTAGGGAAGCAGTAAATCTTCCTTATAGTTAATAAAGTAATTAAACAATAAAAAGACAAGATCAAGGGGTCATTAAGATCTTTAAATTATTATTACCCTCTTCAAAGAGACGTTGTTGTAGTTAAAGTAATTAAACATTAGTTCACAAGCCATACAACTTAAGAGAACATCCAGTTCACAAGCCATACATTTTCAAAAGAACATCCTTAGTTAACAACAACTTCATAGGGGCTTTTAAAGTTGTGTGAGGGGAGACAGTCTCACAAATCCAGACTCCATTTTTCATGAAGAGCCTCAGGCAGAGGGTCTGAACCCGGCACAGATACTGCATCCGTTTCTTGACTGGCGCTCCCGACTGTCACAGGCGTCTCGCTGATTAAACCCATATCGATGCGTCTCTTTGCCATTTTCGTTTTTGAAAGTTTAGGTGACTTGGTGAGTGGAAATGACTGGCTTTTTATCTAGTTTGCACGGATTTATTTTTTACCTAACTCCACCCCCACTATAACTACTAATCCACATTATATTTTTGTAATTGTTTAATTGAAACATAAAATAATACCATTCATTGTAATTGTAAACAAGTAACAAGTAACAAGTAAATCATTTATGTTTGTGTGCTGTGTTTTTATTGTTGTTTTCCTGATACGTTGCTCAAAGTACTAAGTGGTTCAGTTTCTGATTTGAAAAGCGTCATTTATTTTCTATAGCTTCCATGTCAAGTCAGCCAAAGCCTCCAAATCAATGCAGCACTTTCTGTTTGGACTGGATCAGTAGGACACACCTCTTTTTTGTAACAATTCTAAAATCCTTTTGTAAATCATACGGAAATTATTAAATTGAAATAAAGCACATATTAATTGAAAACTACATGCACTCAAAATCAGGTGTATTAAAACACGTCTCTTTTTGGGGGGGATTTTGTCCCATATTTTATTTTATATTAATATTTATAAAAGTGTTTGCTTTTTAAAGTTAAGATAGCTAACCTTTAAACTTACCCTTCTGGATTTATTGAGGAAGCAACGATAAGAAGGTTCCTTTATTGCTAAAATGACATGTATTTTATAATCATACCTTTGGTTTCTGATAAGTACTTGTTTATCTCAGACAATGATCAACCTCAGTGTGATCACTTTATCTTACTATGAAATTAATGTTTAAACAAGTACAGATGATAATTAGGTTGTTTACATTGACTTACTGACACTGTTAACTGCCACTAGGTGATTTTAATGTTTGTCTATTCATATTGTAGTTTTTAAATTGTAATTGAAACACAGATTTCCTACACCCACACACACACACACACACAATCAAGAATGATGTTTCAACAATAAGTCAAAAGTAAAAGCTTGTTTACTATTGTGTGCTGTGTTTTCAAAGATATTTTCCAGATGCTCCAATATGTTATCAGAAGGTCATTTTTGTACATTTATGAGGCTGTGTTGGGTCCTTGAATTGGAGGTCATATGCTCTGTTGAATCCTTGACATTTCATGGAACTTGATTCCTAAGAAGCTGTAGGAACACTGAATATACTTTTTGAATGTTGGTAAACTGATTATTAAGTTTGAGCCTAACTCCATCATACAGGCACTGTCATTGTAGATAATTTATGTTTGTGTAATAATATATAATATAATATAACAATAATATTGGGAGGGATTACACCCTCTTTAATGGTCACACATGCAGAGCACACAGCACATACAGTGACATTTGTTCTCTGCATTTAACCCATCATAGTACTAGGAGCAGTCCAGCTATTGCACAGCGCCCGGGTGTGTTGTGTTTTTACTGTTGTTTTCCTGAGAACATGCTCAAAGGTTTTTTTTCCACATGTTTATGGTCAATATTTTCAGTAATGATTGATCAGGAGTAGACACTATATACAGCTGGGATTACCACAGAAACTCTAAAGTACATCTGAACAGACTGCTTTGAGAATGGAGAGGACCATGTGTTTCCCTCTGTTGCTGCTGATCTGCTCTCTCTCTACGGCTCAGCTTCAGTCTGACAATAAAATTGTTCCACATCATGCTGAATCCCAGGGAGGAGAACCAACAAATGTGTCTGAGCACCAACAGACCTGTCCTCAAGACATCCACGCTGTGCTGAGAGAGATGAGCGCCTCTTTGGCTGAACAGAGGGTGGAGACGAGGCACCTTCAGAGAGAGAATGAAGGTACTGTAGTGTGTAAGGTGGGGAGGGAAGACATATGGGAACCACTTTTAAAATAACATATTTGTTGTTCATTCACAAATTACAGAGCTGTTGTTTGTGAAGAATGGGTTTTACCTTAGAATCGTTTTTTATACCTTTCTTTTTAGCACAGGCAGCTCAGCTGAGAGAACTGGAGTTACAGAAGACTGAGATGGACATGTTGAAGCTACAGCAACAAGGTATACGATATTATATGTCAAATTGGAGACAATACATTTGTCCTAAATATATTCAAAACGTTTTTTAATGATTTAATGACATGTTACTAATTTACTAGAACAAGTTAAAATTGACTAATGAAAGCAGTGATGTTGAAATTCTTTAAACTGTCAAAGATTGTCTTCATTGCAGAATGTATTTCACATACTGTATCACATTATTTTAGCCCAAGGTGGGGAAATATGGAAACCGTTCTTGTATATAAAGTTGTTTCACTATACTATTTTACAGTATTACTTGCAGAAAATGACACTGTTCTAGCTCTTTACACTCTTCTTCTGTTTGCTAAATGTAGAGATCACAACAGTCGTTAAAGTTGTCAGGGAACCTCATGTAGCCTTCTTCTCAACGTTGCAGAATACATGTATTAACAGATGTAAAAACTTTCAGTCTGAAAAACTATTGATACATGCTTGTTCACCTTTTTTTTTTAAAAACAACAATAATCTGATGTTGCAGAGAACATGTCCGACAATCCCATTAATTGTCTTATATGTCACACAATTCATTTCTAAAGGAAGGAGATTATCAAAAGACAAGTTTGGCATGTTAGCATGCTGCTATCATATGCTAATCAGCACCCCAGCAACATACAGCCTATGCTGTTGGGAGTATCTGTAGTTGAGTTATAAACCGAGCTATTGGACTTACTACAATGTCGACTTGATGTGTCCAACATGCCCAATGAAACCCAGTTTGTCACTCAAAATGTCTTTCTGGTGGCAGTAACATCACAATGTCTGTAGCAACTGAATAACCCACATGTGCCTATCCTACTGTTAGCATGGCTTAAATAGTAACTAAACAAGTAACTGAAATAGTAAGGGACGATGTGCAGCGAGGCGATCGTTAATGAAAAAAGAACACTGGGTGATCATGGAGCCCAATGTGAAGCGGAGGGATTTTGATCGCAACAAACCAACGACTTGAGTCACAATATTAATTTCAGAATAATTGTATCGACTTAAAACGTATCGTATTGCTTGTAAAAAATGCTCCGTTCCACTGCGTACCAACGGCTGGAACTGGGGAGTGTCTGAACTTAAGATGAATGGCAGCACTGATCGGGGTTAACTGTTACTGTGCGAGTACATTCACATTGTCTTTTTCACTAACAAGTCCTTAAACAATGCCAGAACAGCCCATAACGTGTTCCTGTTAGTGTTTACTTCCTGTCTGCCATCTTCTGTCGATTTCTCTGACGTCCAACGCTCTGTCTTTAAAGCTCTTTCCTTATCTCCCTTGATTCTCCTTAGCAACGGTCATTATGTTTGCTAAGCAGCTGTGTGTTATCTTGTATTAACAACCTCTGCAATTTCAAAATTGACCAATCAGAATCGAGTATTCAACTTACAGTAGCTGTGAAATAAACGAAAGTAGTGCAGGAATTTTTTTTTTTTTATTATTCAATAAATAGCTATACATTTATTTTATTATTTAATAAAGCACAAAACGCTAAGCTGGAGTTACAGAAGACTGAACTGGAGAAGCAGAAGATCGAGGGGGAGATACAGAAGACTGAACTGGAGAAGCAGAAGACTGAGGGGGAGAAGCAGAAGATCGAGGGGGAGAAGCAGAAGACTGAACTGGAGAAGCAGAAGACTGAACTGGAGAAGCAGAAGATCGAGGGGGAGAAGCAGAAGGTCGAGGGGGAGATACAGAAGACTGAACTGGAGAAGCAGAAGATCGAGGGGGAGATACAGAAGACTGAACTGGAGAAGCAGAAGACTGAACTGGAGAAGCAGAAGACTGAGGGGGACAAGTTAAAGCAACAACTTCAAGGTAGTGTGTGGACAAGATCGTGGCTCTGACAATTTATAGTGAAAATGATTTATGATAGTGTATCTTAAGCAAGGAGAAAACCCTGTTTGAGCAGACACATATATTATAATATATTATACATGTATTTCTTTAAACATAAATGTACCATAGGCAAAGCTAACCTTGATGAAGACAGTGATGATCAAATACTTGAAACTATCCAACTGTATTTCTGTCAGACACAAATATGTAATGATGTCACTTTTGTCACAGTACAAGCAGCAGAGCTGATCACTGTGAAAGCCAGGTCAAATGTCACAGAAAACCAGGTGGAGGCTCTGAAGAGAGACGGAGAAGGTAAAACATCTAAATAATAGGTTGAATTTGTAATATATGTACGTATTTTTAAAGCATGAATTCACAGTAGGGAAATAAAATCTCTCTCTCTCTCTCTCTCTCTCTCTCTCTCTCTCTCTCTCTCTCGCTCTCTCTCGATCTCTCTCTCTCTCTCTCTATCTCTCTCTCTCTCTCTCTCTCTCTCTCTCTCTCTCTCTCTCTCTCTCTCTCTCTCTCTCTCTCTCTCTCAATGAACAATATTGCCAAAGCGTCATGGATAATACAATTCAATTGTGATATGATGATAAAAACAAAATGCATTCATTAAACATTTTAAAGCAATATATTATTACAAAACCGCAAGTATCAAATGTAAAAAGAAACAAAGAAACAAAAGAAAGACACATGAAGTAGAGTCTCTCTCTCTCTCTCTTTCTCTCTCAGTCAAACAGGTGGCTTTCTCAGCCTCTCTGTTGGCTTCAGGCACAGAAACAATCGGACCATTTAACACTGAATCTAATCTGGTCTTCAGATACCTCTTCTCAAACATTGGGAATGCCTACAACCCAAACACAGGTACTCAAACTCAATCATTTAAAATTAGTTTTAGGTTGTAGGCTTTGCTGAATACAATACATGATCAGCAAACAAATCTCAAGTTACCTTCACTGACAAAAAATGTCCCACAGGTTTTTTCATTGCACCAGTGAGAGGAGCCTACCACTTTGAGTTCTACGTATACGGTCACGGTCATCCGACACATGCTTCAGGTGCTACGTTGTTCAAGAACGGAGAGAGAGTTTGTATTGCATATGAACATCAGACTTCAGGTACGGTAAAATCTTCTAATGGTGCCACGCTGCTTCTGGAGGTCAGAGATGTTGTGTTTTTGCGTTTGTGGGGAGACTGCAAGATATATGACAATGTACATCGTCATAGCACCTTTAGTGGTCATCTACTTTTCACCATGTGAAAAAATAAACCGTTTTTATTTTGTGTCAGTACTTGTTGAAAAAGGTGTAATTTGTTTTTCCTTAATATGAACACTGTACAATACACTTTTTAATCAAAAATATGTGTGCATTTTTTGTTCAGTTTTGTTGAGGGATTTGCATGAAATACAGTGATAAACAGAAACAGAAAACTCGTACCAGATTTTGAACATAAAATAAAGGAGGTGCAAGAATTCATGAGAATATTGTGTTTTTTTCATGAATTTCAAGAAATACTCAAGATAAATCCTTTTTTTTTTTGCCTCGATCAAGATGACAAGGAGAATCTATACCTACATGTTGGTTAGAGCTCAGCATTCATCGAAACAACTTTACTTTTCCTGTCAGATCTTTTTGTGTTTCTTTACTTTGTTTTATAGAAATGTAAATAACTGAGTGCTGTTAATGTGACAGGGGGAATTACGTTTGTTGCTTCAAATCCATCTTACATAGCTTTGCATCTCAACATACACAATAACTGTATCAGGACCATCAAATTAAAGTCTCATTGACAGAGTTTGTCCTGTACATGAAACATGAACGACCAAGTTTCAAGGCAGCAGGCATCTAAAAAAAGTTAAATATATTGTTTTCATGTTCTCATACATTTGAATAAAAGCACAAACAAATCACTGCAATACTCCTTCAGGAATTTTCTTCACAATGATGGTTTGAAAATAAAAGAACATGTTATTGTTCAAAATAATAATAAATAATAAAACAATAATAAAATAGAAGTGTCTTAAATATATCGAAATACATATTATTGTTTTTATGGAACAACAGAAACCCCAATGTTCACACATATATATATACACATATATATATATATAATCTGTTACCAGGGGCGGAATGGCCATCGGGACGTTCGGGACGAAACCCGATGGGCCGGTACTGAAGTGGGCCGGTCGGACGATGTGGGCCGCTCGGATAAGTCACTAGCACCCCCCCCCCGTTAGTAATTTACCGAGGTGGGCCGGCGGTACCAAAGTGGGCCGGTCAAGAGTCCCGGGCTGATTTGTAGTCCCAGTCCGCCCCTGTGTGTTACCATTTTATTTAATAAACACAGTAATAATACAAAAACAAAACAGCACACAATAATTTCTCACAATGCATACAAACATATTTACAAAACAAAAATGTATTTACCACCAACAAAATCAATTGATAAAGACAATAAAGACATAAACATATGTATAAAAAGAAACAAAAATATCAAGACAACAAGGAGAAAGGGAGAGGAAGGGACATGTAGAAGAGAGATTATTGTGCTAATGTATTACTGTGAGGTGATCCATTGTTGATAATGAAAGCTGTAACTGTAGGCCGATGCCATCCTCCACATATGGCATCTGAATGCTTTGCGATTTCCACTTTCCCCTATTGGTAAAAGACAAACCGCCCGATATAAAACAACAGAGCAATGAGTCACCAAAGTTAAAAAGCTTTCCCTCTATGGAAATGAACTGAAGTGTCTCAAACTGCATTAAACACTTATTATTTGTTTGCTGATGGATGGCTCTCTTTCTCTCTCACTTCGTGTGTGTGTGTGTGTGTGTGTGTGTGTGTGTGTGTGTGTGTGTGTGTGTGTGTGTGTGTGTGTGTGTGTGTGTGTGTGTGTGTGTGTGTGTGTGTGTGTGTGTGTGATACAGGGTACTTATTATATGTTGTACTTTGGACTCCTAAAGCTTTTAGTCTACTAACCCATCATCCAAGGGTAGTTTTCACTATAAGTAAAAAAGAATATTTGGACGGACACTATAATTTACAGTTTTTTACTATGTAAAATCTGAATTTTCTTTCAAATAAAAAACATCTATATTGATTCTGACTTTTCTACATCCAACTCACAGGTTTATCATTACTTTGAGAATAAAGATTATTAATGTAACCCTTTTAGAAGGGAAGATATGGTCATTTGTTCTGGGAAAGTCATTTTCGAGCCTGAGACCTGAAAAACAGGCTCAGAGCTTAACAGGTTAAGAAAGTTATCACCAAAAATGTTAAGAATGTTTTTAGAGAACGTTATCCTACCTTTCAGAAGAACATTCTGGGAACCAAAATAAAACGTCCTGCTGAAAACGTTTTTAAGAACAGTAGGGCATAATGTTCTAACAATGTTATCAAAAACATCTTAAGAAGGTTATCAAAAACATCTTAAGAAGGTTATCAAAAACATCTTAAGAAGGCTATCACCAAACATTTCAAGAATGTTTTTAAAGAACGTTATCCTACCTTTCATAAGAACATTCTGGGAACCAAAATAAAACGTCCCACTGAAAACATTCCTAGAACAACGAATGGTAACAAACATTTCTAGCTGGGAACTCACACATGCCACCGCAAACATGCAATATCTGCTTACAGCTTATCATGAATTACATGCTTGTTTGTCTTTTTCAAAAGGAAAATATGGTGACATCAGATTTTTTTTAAAACATTATTTTCAAACAAATGCAACAAGTTTGTTTTTTAAAGCGCTCTAGAAATAAATCTGACCATGACCGTGTTGATATTTGCCATAACAGGAACGTTTTATAAAAAAAAGAATAACATCCTGAAAACATTTTCAGAATGTTGCTTTGAAAATGTTCTTCATTTGTTATCATGTAACATTGAGGGAACGTTTTATAAAGAACATCTTTAATGGGTTACCCAACAACGTCCAAAACACATCCTTAGAATGTTGCAGGCAAAACGTTCCACCTTTGTTAACATATCACATTAAAGGAACGTTTTATAAAACACTTTCTGTCATCTCAGGCCTCAATAACATCCTCAAAACATCCTCTGAATGTTGCAGTTAAAACGTTATGTCTTAGTTAACCTTAAACCTTATAGGAACATTATTTGAAAAAAATAAACATCCTAAAAAGGTTCTTTGAACATCAGATTGAAACGTTTCTTTAAAACCTTATTAGAACCTGTAGGTAATGTTAGCCAAAGTTGTGAGAACGTTCCCCGCTAGCTGGGACGGAGAAGGTAAAACATAGATCTAAATTATTTAATTAAGTTTTGAACAGGCTTATTCACAAATATGTGCACATTTAAAAACTTGAATTCACAGTAGGTAAATAAAATCTCTCAGTCAAACAGGTGGCTTTCTCAGCCTCTCTATTGGCTTCAGGCTCAGGAACTATCGGACCATTTAACACGCACACTAATCTGGTCTTCAGAAACGTCTTCACAAACATTGGGAATGCCTACAACCCAAACACAGGTACTCAAACTTATACAATTTAAAAATAGTAGCAGGTTTTAGGCTTTGCTGAATTCAAATACATGATCAACAAACACATCTCAAGTTACCTTCACTGACAAGAAATGTCCCACAGGTTTTTTCATTGCACCAGTGAGAGGAGCCTACCACTTTGAGTTCTACGTATATGATCTCGGTCATCCTTCACATGGTTCAGGTGCTGTGTTGTTCAAGAATGGAGAGCATGTTTGTGCTGCATATGAACATCAGCCGCCAGGTGCTGGGTCATCTTCTAATGGTGCCACAGTGCTTCTAGAGGTCGGAGATGTTGTGTTTTTGCGTTTGTGGCAAAACAATCAAATACATGACAATGAACATCACTCTAGCACTTTCAGTGGTCATCTGCTTTTCACCATGTGAAAGGGAAACTCATTTTCTTCCGCTATATGATCTTTTTCTTTTGTATTACAGCTTTGCTTTTTTATTGACAATGCTGCACAACAACCAAAAGGAATCTATCAGTAGCAGCAAATTAAAGTCTCATTGTTTTTCTCCTGTAAATGAAAGCTGACTGACAAGCTACACAGTAAAACCCATTTATAAATATTACATATGTTTGTTCATGTTCTCTTACATTTAAATACTATAGACATATCACTGCAATACTATTTGTAAACACACAAAGTTGATTATAAAAATTAAAAAATCATACTGTTAGTAGAAACCCAAAAAGATGTGTCTTATCTGTTTCTGAGAGATACAATAATCACTAATAGTTGTCTCAGATGTTGGTGAGATCTCAGGCTCTATGAACACAGGCACTCTGATCTATTTTCAGCTGAGAAGCTTTGCACTTTGTCATATTCTGACTTTCTGACTCAGCACTTGTCTTTTGTTTTGGGAGAGACTGGTTAATATCAGTTAGAACAAATAATGTTGTGTTAAAAATCTGATAAAGCGCACATCATTCTGCTACTTCCTGCTTGTAGATGTTTTTATAACATTGTGTTGTTCTTTAAAAGTCAGACTTTGTAACTATACTGGATTTATTGAGGAAGCAAAGGGAGAAAATATATTTTATAGTCATCTTCATTTGGTTTCTGGTAAGTCTTTTATCATATCACCTGATGGACTGCCTCATTGAGGTCACTTTATCTCACTGTCATTAATGTTTGAACAAGTGGATGATCATTATTTTGTTGACATTGACCTATTTTCACTGACCAGCCATGAGGTGATTTTAATAAACGTTTTATAATATTCGATAATCCACATTATAGTTTTGTAATTGTTTCATTAAAACATAAAATAATACCATAAGATTTCCTTCACACCAATGCACACCATTCATTGTAGATGTTATAATAAACAATTTTTGGGGGTAAAAATCAATGCCTTTAGAGCAGGGGTGTCAAACTCAAGGCCCGGGGGCTAAATCCGGCCCGCGACTTCATTTTATGTGGCCCCACAAGAGCTTGCAAAGAATATAATATGTTTATTACACGGTTACATGCTACTTTACAGAAGCACGTTGCCCATAAATGACATGTCCTACAATGCATCTCAGAATTTTACTTTTTCTCCGAATTTTACTTTTTTTGTCAAAATATGCCTTTTTTCTTAAAAATAGCCTTTTTCTCATATATAGATTTCTTTTTCAAAATGTCACTTCTTTTTTTTTGTTTTTCCAGAATGTGGCTTTTCTTTTTAACCTGTTACGCACCGCCCCCCCGGTACCGGGCGGATAACCGCATCATTTGCAGGAAACAACGTCTAAGGAATCTTAATATTTAATAAACTATGAATGTTTTATATCCATGTAACGGGAAGAAACTCAGCTAACTGATCTTTTTAATTTTTTTTCCAAAAAAAGACCACAATGCTAACACTCAGCCTCTGAATTAACCACAAGCGAAAAAATGTAACCTAAAACTGCACCTAAACTCACTCATAACTCCCTTATTACTTATCCTA